AGTTGTAAAAGTGTATAGTTTTAGTGTGGTCTGGTGTCGGGGGTGCTGTGTTCACACCCGCGTGTAAGGTCTGTTTCTGCTCTGTAACGCTGTGAGATTGTCACACAGCAGCAACTTCTGAAGTTGCTGGAATTACCCCGCTGTCATTCATGCGCTTGTAAAATCACTTTGGCTTTTATTCAGTTCCAGCAACCATGAAAAGCAACTGGAGAAGCAACACACAAACAAAATACTCTTCTCTCTCAGGCACCCTTTTAACTACTTTTATTCATGTTTAAAGGGGCGGTTCATCTCTGAAATATGGAGGCGTGTAGTTAGTTTTGATTGTTATCAAGGTTGTAAACTCTCCTTCACTTAGTTTTTTTTTTTTTTTTTTAACCTCCACCCAAACACAATGCAGGTGACTCAAATTGCTCACTGGATAAAAAAAAATGACTTGAAAAATTCAATAATAAATTGTATTTCAGGTAAAAAGTGTCTGGGTAGTCCACATATCTGTGAATAGTTTTCTTTGGAACTGCTTTTTTTAATAGAAATAGTCCTTGTGAAAACTGTGAGGTCTGTGGATTATCAAGAATAACAGGATCAAATATGTTTCCTCATAATTCAGTTAAACAAAAACTTGAATTACGACACAGAATTCCCGAACTGATGCAAAAAGCCAAACATGTATTCTGTGCGGTATCCTGCTTGCATCCTCTGTTAGACAATTAGCAGGACCTCCTCCAAATGTGGTGGCTAGTGACAATGACGCGTAGACATGTAACAACACATTGCCAGTAAGCTACCCCTTCTCTTTGGCATCCCTGTCATCTGCAAAACCTTCAGCACCAATCTGTGGACATTACCCAGACTGCCAAATATAAACACAAGCAGGCTGCACTCATACCAAAGCTGTCAGACAGCATTTACAAGAAGCTGCCAGTTTATAACCTTCATATGGAGCGCTTCCTCTTCCCCCTGACTGGTCCATGATCAAAAACCCACTTCTTAACCAACAAGCGTTTGACAGTGACATGCTTTAATACATCATAGTCCCGATTACACAATTTGATCACGTCGCACAGCAATTTCTGAACCCACAGCGTACAATCTTATTTATGTCCTTAAGGGTAACTATTCTACACAGCTGTGCTATGTAAAGCCACTTATATTCATAGCAGCCATTCAAAATATGTACAGACTGATGGCTATGAAGCAAGCAGTAAAGACCTTTAAGTCCTTTAAGTTGTTTTCAACTGCCCTACTGAATGATGCATAAGCATTATCTCATCTTACATCGCTATGGCTAAGACTTTGTTAGCTTTTGGTCATGGTTAGGGAAAGATTACAGTTCTGGTTAAAATTAGTATCACGTTTAGGTTAGGGTGTAAACCTATGTTGTTTTGGGCATTTTTCTGAAATGACTGATGCTGTTTTTCCATCATCCACAGGTCTGCTCTGAGGTAATTAAAGGGCAGTCTCGCACTTCATTGCACAGTTTGATGGCTGGCACAGTGGGGGCCTTCAGGGGATGAATAGCTGGGACCTTCTCAAGATTAACTAGTTGTGCGTTTGTATGTGTGTGTGTGTGTGTGTATGTGTGTATTTGTGAAAATCTGCCCAACCATGCTGCATGATGTGTGTTTTCTGTGTGTTTGTGCATGGAAACTAAACGTGTAGCTAAATGTCAGGTAGCTTCCTTTTCCTCACCTGAAGCCCACTGTGGCTGACCTTGTCACGCTAATAAATGAGTGTTATTGTGTGTATGTTTTAACTGCGAGGACCCATAGCTAAGCAATAACATCATTAGGCCTAATAATATGTTTATTGTTAAAGCTAATGCAGTTTGGGTTGGCTGCTCCCATGGGGCTGCTCAGTCTTGGTAGAGAAAGTGGATGTGTGTGTCCGTCTGTGTGTGTCCGTCTGTGTGTTGGGGATTGTTTGTCCGCCTAGAGTTGTAAGAATTTGTTTATATATTTGTTCATGTTTAAGTTCATCAGTGTTTTATTCAAGTTTTCTGCTTATAGCTGAGTATTTTCTTCTTGCGAGGATACAAGGTGACTGATTGTTTTAGTGTGTGTATGTGTGTGTGTGTGTGAGTGAGTGTGTGAGTGAGTGTGTGAGAGAGAGCATGTGTGTGCGTGCGTGCATGTACAGTTGTCGGTATATTATTCATAAGATGGTGGGGTATGCAGAGGGATTCTGGGGGGTCCTTGTGTTTTTATTACCTGCTGGTGGCCTCCTGCCAGCATCCAGCTTGATTAACTCTCCCCTCACTACCCTCTCTGCTTTACACACACACACACACACACACACACACACACACACACACACACACACACACACCAACACACTTATGCACACTCACAACCACCTACTCTATCATTGAAAGTGTGCGGGGGATTTAAGGGAATAGCAGCTAAGGTTCTCAAAATGTTATTATCTATTAAAAGCCTGAGGAGGAGGCACAGGGCTCCACGGTTACTCTTTATGTCTTCTCTTGGTTGTTTTTCAAGGAGAGCTTTTATAAGAGAGGAAATCCACACACTTCCACCTGCGCAAGTGTGGTTTTTGGTAGTAGGTCATTTATTGCTGGAGTTTGAGCACATGTTTAAGGCTCGATTCCTGGATTCTGATCCACACGCACACACACACACGGAAGCAATTTGCTCTTCCACAAAAAGAGTGTAATTCAGTAAAGACACACTGTGTCTCGCTCCCTCCTGTTACTCATGTGTGGCAGCTCGTAATGAAAGGGCCACTGGAAGGCTTAGGGGTTTCACTTAAGTCATTTTGTGCTCAATTTATTTTGTGTATCACAGGAGGCAGTGTGAGATGGTTTGACTAACAGTTTTTAGCATCCTGTTACACCCCATTGATATAGATGGAGGATGTGCCTTGCCTCGCCTTCAGCAGCTACTGTTTCTCAGCACGTGCGAGAGAAATGTCTAGAGTATGATTAATCTCCTGAGATTAACTTCAGCAAACAATAACACTACAGCATCGACATTCATAAGGAAAAGAAGCAGTTTTTCATTTGATTCTGACATAATCAGGCCCTGTCTAAAAATATCATTACTGAATCATTTCCATTTATTAGACTCTTAGTACAGAGCCAGATCACATCTTCCTTTCTTGCTCAGTACAACCTCCATCTGTCGTTCACTGTATTAGCTCCCTAAGGGCTAACCTCCCTGCCTCATGCCACTTCCTGCTCATCAATCAGTCAATTACTGGAGCACTTCCGGGTCAAGGTTCAGGAGAAACACACATTTCAGTCCTCCACAGAGGTTTACTGTACTGTATAGAGAGAGGACAAAGCCAATTTTTATTTACAATTTGGGCACAGTCAGAGTGCAGCTCAGTCAACCTCGCCGCATGATGAAGGTGAGGGTGAGGGAAAATGCATTTTAGTATTTTTCTTTTCAAAAAAACATGGAATGAGGTGGGAGGAAAAAAAACAAACAAACAGTGTAAGGATAAGAGGAGTAGGCCAAGGAGGGAGGAAGGAGGGAGTGGAACAGAGCGGCCTGTGAGATCAAGGTCGTATCCAGGCTTTAGTATTGGTATTCTCCTCAGTGTTAAAGTGATTCTCCAAGTGAATAGTGTTTTCATTCCTCTCCTGAATGAGATTCACGGGAGCATGGAGAGAGGGAGAGAGAGAGGGAGACATGACAAAGAGAAGAGAAAGTAATTCCCCTTCTCTCTCTCTTTCTCCCTCCTTCCTCCCCCCATTTTCGTTCCCCCTCGGACATACAATAGCGAATGAAAATACAGCGTGGGATAAACAACTTTTATCAGACAGGAGCAAATGAAATCGCCGATTTTATTCAATTCTTCATCCCTGAAGGATCCCCTTACTTTATCTACCCGGCAACATCTCACCCCTGCAGCTTCAGCTAGAGAAAAAAAAAAAAACATAAGAAGGTGCTTTATGCAAATTAAATGCTTTATTCTTGATTAGATTACAGACGCAATAATTGTCTTGGATGATTTATGGGTGTAATTTGTTGCCACAAACTGCAGTATGAAAAGCTCAGTTGCTGCGGTTTGTGCAATGAAAATATTAGATCAACACAATTTAGGGCATCTGCTATAACATCCACTTCAGTGGGAACATATACATTACATAAGGGAATTACATTGTTGAGGACAATGTGTTTTTCAGGATTTAAAGGTAAATAACCAAGACAAAAAAGCATTGAGGTTCAGCATTCAAATGGAAGGTCTTTACACCAACCGAGTGAGTCAACAGTTAGTTTTTAAGGTGGACTAAGAGCAATGAGAAAAGAGATGAAGAGGAAAGAAGGGAAAGTACAAGCCTCCAGGTGGCTCATACTGATGCACAGATTTGGCCTGTGGTAGGATTTAGGATGTGGGCTTGTTACCCTTACAGTTGACTGACAAGTGGGGAAATTAGGTACTTGCCATGCCATCCCGCTCCATCTCCAGGTACCGTTTCTACTTTACAGCAGGCTGATCTCAACAAGAGCCCTCCCACTTCACTAAGACCCTGTCATGAGGGGGAGAGAGAGGGAGAGAGGGAGAAGCTCAGAGATCTTCTCTGCCTGACATCGATCTATGACGCATATTACCAGCCTAATCCAATTAATTCTGTTTCGCTTGCAACGCGGCTCACTTGAGTCATCGAAAATGCATATATAAATATATCTGTGACAGATTGCAACGGGCCGTGCAAAATGCACAAACAGCTAATTCAGGTGGACTTGAATTTGTTCGGCAAACTCCCCCCCCGTCCTAACTTTGGCGTTTCTTTGTTTCACACAAAGAATGCAGAAAGCGAGGAGGGAAAATAATTGAGGCGGCAGCCAGGTGAAAACAGATTTGTTTGACAAACTTTTTTTCTTTCTTTTTCTCCTGCCTTCCCCATTTCTTCCCTCCATCCCTCTCGATCGCCTCCCTCTCCTCCCTGTCTACCACATCTCTCTTTCTTTGTACAGGCTGAGGTAAAACTGTAGCAGAGGACCAGCAGCAGCAGCAGCAGCAGCAGCAGCAGCAGCAGCAGCAGCAGCAGCAGCAGCAGTGTTGGTGCGACCATGAGGTCAGAGGCCTTGTTACTCTACTTCACGCTACTGCAAATAGCCGGGGCGGGCTTCCCCGAAGACAGCGAGCCTATTAGCATCTCACACGGCAACTGTAAGTACATCCCTCTTTCTTCCTTTTCTTTCCTCTTTTTTAGGCACTCTCCCTCCTCTCATCACAAGTCCTTCCTCGCTCTCTCTCCCTGCCCTCTCCTCTTTATCCTCCACTAAGCAAGTCCCGCTCTCTGTATCTCTCTCACTTGTTCTATCCTTTTGCTCCTCCACATCCCTCTCAACCCCTTGCTTCCTTTGCAACCCCCACCTCCTCGTACACTGAGTGCATTTTGAAAGCATGGAGCGTAATTTGGCGCCCAAGGATAGGCCCTCTACACACACACTAAAACCAAGGACTTAAAGCAGCAGCATTTGAAACGGAGCCCACCCCACATCAAAGGATAATCCGCTATTTTTCTGTTGGACTCCTAATGCTGTGTGTGATAGTGTTAGCACTGTGGCAGGCTATAAAGATACGGTCATTGTTTCTCTCTGTGTTTCTCCCTCTGTCCTGTCCCGTTCTGCTCTCTCTGGGCGTGACGATGTATCTCCTGGCCAGGAGAGCTGAAACGCAGGCCAGCCAGCCTCACATAGACTCCTCTATCAGACTGTTTATTCAAACCAAGCGCTTTCACTCAAAGCCACTAACAATACAACGATTGCATGGTACAGCGCAGCACGTTTTTAGCCTACAATTTATGGTCGCTGGAGGAGCTCTGCCAGCAGCTGTGGTGTTGGCGTGTTCTCATCCAGCTAAGACACATGGGCTGATATTCGGCCTAAAACCCATTAGACACTTGATATAAGCTGTCAAATTCATGAATTCCAAAAATCCAGAGGCTATTAATACAGTTACTACAGTTATGTAAGGTTAACACATGCAGCGGATTAATTTTCTGTCCTGTTTCATGTCCTTGCAGACACAAAGCAGTATCCAGCGTTTGTAGGCCACAAACCTGGCAGGAACAACACGCAGCGGCACAAACTGGACATCCAGCTCATCATGATCATGAACAGGACGTTATACATTGCTGCCAGGTGGGTGATAATAGCTGTTTGCTCAGAGTTTTGATGAACATGTGTTTTCTCCACACCCAGGACATCCTCAAATACAGTTGCTATTTCAGACAGAGAGGCATAAATTCAAGAAGACATTTCAAATTGCTGCAAGTTTTACGACTGTGAGATGAAAAGTACAGGCCACTGTAGAGTGGGATTAGTCAAACTGAGCAAGTGTGGCTCCACCAGGATTATTAATTCCTTTATCATCATATTTCTCATATTACAGTTGCTGACTGAAGTTGACTTTCAGCTTTGCATGAGTCTCATCAGTTGTTGCCAGTTGGGGATTGTCAACATGTGATCCTGTTTTAACTCGATAATGGCTGAGGGCTGTGAGATCCAAGGCAGTCAGGCTATCGAACTGAACTTTGGAGCCCTGCTGTGCTGTTTTCTTCTAAAGTTTGGAGAATCCAGAGGGACTAATTCAGAGCAAAATCCTGAGACTTTAAAGCAGTCTGGACTTTTTCTTTCATTACCTCTGTGTTGTTTTCTATTTTTGGCTCACCGTCTGCCAAAACCCCTTTCACCTCCAACAATGTCCCTGAAGACTTGTGCCCAGTTTTGTTTTTTTAAACATCCAGGCAGACATACGAACACACGCAAACACACACCCCCAGACAGATGATAAACTGCAGATGAATTAAACACTAATATCAAAGAAAAGAGTTCCCAATTTTTTGGAAAAGGCTACTTGATATAATCCACATTTGGGGTCTAAAGGCACCATCCAAACAGCTGTAATCCACATAGTCGATAAACAGCAATACGGGACCATTACAGAAGTTTAGATTCTTTATTTGTTGGCAGCTCAGTTGCCCTCGCAAATCGATTTTTAGAGCTCTTTGTTTCTTTGTCTGGCAGTTTTTTTCCCCCTTGTCTGTCACCTACCTTTATTGCTTTCTGTCCATCTGCCAATGTTTTTTCTCACCTGTGTGTTTATTTTTGTGTGACTCAACTTTCTGAGATAATAAAGCTCAATTACACCATCTGGAGCCATGGAGAAAACCAACATTGATTATTTTGTTCTCACTCATCTGTATTTCAGAATATGTTCACGTTGCTTCGTGACACTGTAGCATCAGTCATGTCCGTGACCAAAGCATCAACAGGCAGGCTTACCTGCAACGGAGGCTTGAATGTGCAGTAAACATGAAGTCAGCATTGAAAAGGTGTTAATAGAAAAGATCCTTATCTGCTTGTTCTTTTCCATCCATGGCTAATTGAGTGGCAGGCTTGATTGGATACTGTTGAAAGCCACAATAGGGGTCTTTCTTTGTTTTCCTCCCAAGCATGTCAAATTAAGTGGCTGTGGGAGGCTGCTGTTTTAAGTGGCTCAGCTTTTTAACATATCTTTGGTCATTAGGACGAGGTGTAGGGAGAATGAGAAAAGGAAACGGAGCGAAAGAGAGACTGTGTGTGTGTGTGTGTGTGTGTGTGTGTGTGTGTGTGTGTGTGTGTGTGTGTGTGGGTGTGTGTGTGTGTGTGTGTGTGTGTGTGGATCACCAGAGGCTTTGGTCTGTCTGTCGCCCACCTGCTCCACATGGGGTGGCAGTGGCCTGAGGGATAGGGGAGGGACAGCAGACACACAGGCTTTATTGGAGGGGTGTGTGAGAGAGAGAGAGAGAGAGAGAGAGAGAGATGATGTGTGTTGCCCAGTTTAGTATGCAGACCAGTTGTCGAAGGGATTTAAAAGTGATTTCTTGAGTGTGATATGTGTGTGTATAGATCTATACATTAGGGAGGGTGAACATGTGTTGCTGTGGCTGTGGGCGCGGGTGCTACAGCCCTGGATCGCGTCTGCAGTGAGTTATGCATGTGTTTCTGTGTGCATCTGCGAGGTCACCTGGTGCGTTGGTCTCACACTTGCATACTTGCTTAAAGCAGACGGGAATTCTGACACATGGCCATGGTATGTGACCCCTGAATAACTGGAATGGCTGCCTCAGATTAGACTGAGCCGGATGACTGCCATTGATCCTGACACACAGAAGAATGTTGGAGTCAATAACATGGACACAAAATGACGGCCCGTGCACAAAGATCCATCGGCACTAACACGATATCGATAAAGACATGTAAAAGTTGAATGACATACAGTTGAAGGCAAACAGCGAAGACAATCACCACTTCAGAAATCAATGTGAAAGCGAGCCAACCCAGCAAGACATGAGCTACGAGACAACGAACAATGGTGCAGGAAAAAAAAAAAGGAAAAAAAAAAGGCTACATCAATAGTTGCTTTTATGATGGTTGTCCAGTCAAATGACTTGTTTATTCTGGGGCCAGCATCACGCAGCTTTGCCATCATGCCTCTACACCAATGAGCCTCAGTTCTTGGTGCGCAGCAGCTTGCAGATGGCCACTGTGAATGTAGTCCAAAGCCCAACACTGTTTCAGGCTGTTTTTTGAATGGCTGCTCAGTGTATTAAATCTCCTTTGGCTCCTGTTTTGGCTCTGGCAATAAAATCACAAGATTTTTAAACTGTGAGATGCATGTAAACATAGCAACTGATGAAACTGTAAATAGACAAAAGTGGCCTAATCCATAGAGGGAAAGAGTCAAATCTTTTGGCAACGGACGAACGCAGAGCAACAGATGCAGTGATTGATAATTCATCCTCAGTTTTGAGCCTTGAATGAAATGTATTGATTTGGTGGAATCAGATGCTCCTTTTGCAGTCCTGTTTCATCCATTAACAAAATGGCCTCTGTTGATGAGGTTGTTAGACTTTTCTAATATGTGTAAAATATCATTAAGCCTCTTAGGCTCATATATATTTAATGCTGATTATGAATTCACTACATGAATGGTTCAGTTTCTTAATATTCTGAATCGTATTCCATCACTCAGTTTCCATCAGGTGCATTAGCTGGGTTGACAGTACAGCGTGATAACATATCAGACTGCTGTCAAAAAACCTCTTGTTAGTTCAGTTTTAACAAGACAGGCATTGGGCTGAGTATAGTGTTGATTTCTCTCACTCTTCCTTGAATAGCCGCTGTTAACATTAGGGATGCATAGCAGATTTTCTGCGAACAAGACCCTCTTTGAATCAATCTCCGCATACAGATGCAGAGAAAGTTGTTTTTATTTACAAATTGTAGCACATAGGTGTTTGTTTCTGAAATCATAGTGATGACCATGAGATTCAACCTTGTATCAAGCTGCAGTTTTATACATTTTTATCGCAGGAATTAGCTATACATTATCCATGACAACTGAGACCTGAGCCACTGTATATTAAAGTGCTGAACATAAAAACTTCTTCATGTACAAGCTCAGTGGTTTATGTGTGTCTGTTGTTGTGTGTGTTCTAGGCGTTTAGCAACAGAGTCACGTTCAGTAAAAGCAATAAAGTGTTCTTGATGCAGTGAGAGATGGACACAGGAGGATTCGTGTCCCAGCGGCCCATATTTCATGGTCAGGGTACACTATGTAGAGCATTCAGAGGGAATTCATCACAGTGCAATGGGAGATTTATCATTCTGATCTCTGCGGAAAAAATATCTGGTGTGTGGCATGTGTATCAGAGTGTGTGGCATGTGTATCAGAGTGTGTGTGTGTGTGTGTGTGTGTGTATGTGAATGAATAAATGTGTTTATGTGTGTGTACAGCTGTAACTGTACCGGACCTTAGTCGCCATTTCCATCAGTTATGATCACTGTGTACTCCCCTGATGTGTGATTGCTGAGATCTGGGGAAAATTTGACGGGACGATTAGACAGACTGTAAATGAGATAACAGTTTATCCACAATATCCACACTAAAGCACTTTATTAAGAGGTAAAACACAAATGGAGCCCACCCAAAATGTTCGTGATAATCTCTCATTGCTCACTGTGTGTGCAAAGTTGAACTAGGAAGTCAGAGTGTGGATGTAAAACGGACTGTTTGGGTAACAATTTTCTTTTCTTTTCCAAATAAGTTTAGCTACCATGGGTCTTCGGGGTTGGGATCTGTATGATCTTGTCACTGTTCATGTTTTTTGTCTCACCTGGATTCTCATCATCAATGTTGCATTGATCTCAGTAATAAACTTAGGGAGTACAATGTTATAGGAATGATGGCTAAAACTATGCAAATGCAACCCAGGTTGTTTGAAACTGGAATTTCCCTTTGAGGTTAGGGTAAGGTTTGAGAACATGAGGAAGAGACACATGCAGAGAATGAGACACACAGTCCGTACATAATTGTGCGTGCGTGCGTGCGTGTGTGCGTGCGTGTGTGTGTGAATGTGTTACTGTATACCCTGCCTCGCAAGCATGCCCCAGGTCTCTCCACATGCAGGGCATAGTCGCCATTCCCGGCCCTCTGTCGGCGTTTGCCATGGTAACACCAACCGCACTCTGTTTACACCCCTCTATGAGGCTGGCAAGCATGGGAACCAGAGAGAGAATGTGTGTGTGTGTGTGTGTGTGTGTGGGAGAGAGATAGAGAGAGAGAAAGACAGAGACAGAGGGAAAGATCGGTGTGAGAGTGGAGGGACCAAAATTTGTGGTTAGCACTCACAAAGAAACACACACATAGAGAGTTAGAGTCAAAATCCCGATTACCTTCTCTCAGTTGAGTCCTCTGGAACAGTTGTGTCTCTGTGGCCGCTGTTCTTCCCTGTCGGGTCTCTTTGGGTCTCGCAGTGGAGGCCACTAGAGTCTCCATTATTGTAGCTGCACCAAATCCTGTTAAAACCCACTAATGATGGGGATTACACGGTTGCCTCCTCTCCCTCTCCTCGCAGCACCAGCGACATCCAGCCACGTCCACACTCTGAAACAAAGCTTGCAGCTCCAGTAATCATAATCACCTGAATTAAAAGTTGGAGCAAGTTTCTAGTTGATATGTAACCCTGCAAGTACCGTCAGATACTTTCTTACTCCAAAGGTTTTTCGCAATTCATCCAAACTTTTTATCCAACATCAGAGAGCCTGGCTGGGTTAATTCATGCTTGAATAACTGTCATATTAGCAGGAACTTAAGT